CGCGGTGGTCGTCGCTGAGAGCATGCCGGGCGGGCGAGTGGGTCGAGTGGGCCTGGGAGCCCGACGACGAGGCGGTGGCGTCCGTTGTGCTCCTGCCGCCCATGCCGTTGGTGCGGGCGCGGCCGTCGGCGGCCTGGTAGTCGCCCTCGTGCGGCCCTCCTTCACGCTGGTAAGCGCCCTCGGCGGGGCCGCCGTTGGGCGAGCGCGCGGCGTCCGCCCGACCCCGCGATCCCCTCTCGAGACCCAGCTGGCTGTCCCAGTGCTGGTAGCTGTGGCTGGGCGCCGGCCCGCTGTGGCCGTACGATCGGTTGCGGCTGTGGCTGTACGGGGCCGAGGCGGTCGAGTCGACGCGCGAGGGCGAGCCGAGCGCCTTTGCGCCTCCGCTCGACGGCGAGGATGCGTGGCTGCTGCGGCCCGCGGGCTCCTTCCACCGACCGCCGCCCGCGCCGTTGCCATAGTCGGTCGGAGGGCGGCCGTGCGAGCCAGACGACGACGTGGCCGAGAGTGCCTGGTGGCCGTGGTGCGTATACTGCCCTGCCGCATCGCCGCCACCGCCGCCGCCGCCGAGCTGGTGGAGACCAGAAGGTGCCGAGGCCGACGCAGACATGCCTTGCGCGGGGACGGGACCAGGGGCGTACGTCGGGCGCGAGGAGCCGTTGGCCGGATGGTAGGGGCCCCTGCCATCTGCGCCGTGCATGACGCGATCCTCGGCGGGCCGCTGGTGGTGGTGCTGGAGGTGCGAAGGGTGATGGTGCGACGACGACGACGTAGGGTAATGCCAGGGCTGCATGGCAGGGTCCGCGGCGGCGGCACCTCTGTTGGGGGCATCGACGTTGGACCAGCTGCGGAAGCGCTGCTCGACGTCGCCCTGTGCGCCAAAGTGCGAGTCGCGGCTGTTTGGGTGGGCGTGCTGCGACTGGCCCGCCGAGACGGGTCGGGCGACGCCGGGAGCGTTGGCCGCGGCGTCTCCGAGCGCCTCCGAGGAGCGGGCGCGCGCGTGATGGGGCGGTGCGTCGCTGGCGTCATAGTGGTCGCCGTCCTGCGAGCCACCGCCGCCTTCGCCCGAGTGCGACGAGCCGAGCACCGAGAACCTGTTCGGTGCGGAGCGACAACGGGACCGGAATTTGAAACCGGGACATGGCCGTCGTCGTCGAGAGCGTGGGTAGGGTCAGCATTGGTTCGAGGACAATAATCTGCGCGCGCATGCGGAAGGATCCGACCCACCTCTTGTTGGGCTTGCGGCCGCGCTTGTGCTTTTCAAACAGGCACTCCTTTGCGTGCTTGACGCAGCGCTTGCACGGCACGTTGCCGTCGGTGGGCGCAGAGCATTTGATCTTGGCGCTGCGGCACTCGAGGCAAGCAATCTTGGCGCCCTGCTTGGTGTCGGCGCCGCCGGGCCCACTCACAAACACCCTCGCCTTTGCGCCGCCAGATGGGGTACCGGGTGTGTCGGGCTGCTCGGTGGCGGCAGCGGCGGCGCCGGCAAACGACCTGGGCGTGTTGGGGACGGCCGTCGAGGCCATCGGTTGGGCGCCGTGGAGCCTCTGGGCCTCAAAGGGCAGCGGGCCGGTCTCGGGTTGCATCTACAAGCGCATCAATTGCGGCAACGACGAGGTGGCAGCCGTGCAAGGGGGCCGAGGTTGGTGGTGCGCAGCGGCGGTCCAAACGAGGGCGGAGAGGCGGGGCGACGTGATAAGTAGGGGCGGTGCAGGCTGGCGATGTCGCTCCGGAGAGATGGTAGGACGATGTCGTGATGGCTGGCTGCTGGCGAGCGGGCGCAGACCAGCGGTGGTGCAAAGCCAAAGAGCAGGGCGCTGTTGGGGGGTTACGGCGGCGGCGGCGAGCGACAGAGCCGGTCAAGGAAACCAGCAGGAGAGCAGGGCGTAGGCCGGATGCCGTTGGCTGTCGGAAGAGGCCGAAGCAGCAAGTGCGAAAGACAAGTCCGAGATGGCAATAGTGCGCTGCGGCGACGGGCGGCGCTCCTCCGGTGGAGCGAAAGCCAGAGCCGGACCTTGCCGATACGAAACCGGGTACGGATGCCAGCCAGCGAGCGACGAGCGGGTTTGCGATCCTTTGAAGTTGCCGACTCGGGCGAGGATCCGGTGTGAGCGCAGTCGCCGGCCGATCCGATGCGAGAATGAATGCCGCACAGTCGATGCGATCCCAGGGTGCCAAGTCCCGGGACGAGAACGATAAAGAAAGGTGCTGGCGGTGTCCAGGACAACAGAGGGTGACGAAGGAAGGAGCCACCAAGACGGAGAGGAGAGGAGAGGCGACCGCGGTCGAGGGTCGAACGAGTGGCCGAGGGTAGGTAGGTGGCTCGAGATGAAGGCCGGCTGGCGACCAAGAAGCAAGCAGCGGCGGCGGCGACGAACGACGCAAAGAGCGACGTCGCGGCGGGGCGCCAGGCCG